AAGCAAGCACTGAAGAAGAACGACGCCGAGAGAGCTCGGCGACAGCTATTGAGCAAATTTTCACAAGTCAGATTTTCATCACCCGACCACAGTAACCACGCTAGTCATCACAAAGAACGTGTAGTTACCAGATAGCCCTTAATTCAGGCATGGTGCTACATCACGAACGACTAGGAGAAAGCATATATGCATCCGTCATGGTGATACTAATGCACACTTCTGACAAAGAGCGATAGCAACTCTAATTGTAACTGAATATAAAGTTTTTAAACCTTGCCCAGATGCCCATTATATGCCTATGGTTAAATGTCATACTGTCGCGAACAGTTACCGCCCACTGGAACGACGTAGGCACTCCGATAGATGGCCATGTGTGCGGTCATCGTGGACTGATCGACGATCTCTGCACAAAGAACGGGAAACAAGCATCGTCCCAACAGTTCGTGAACGGTACCACCCCTAGCTAAATCGGCAAGTGGATAATCTCGGATCGAAGCACCAGATGCCGCTAGAAAGTCTGCTGTAAATGCAGACCGTTCAATCAAAAAGGACAAAGGAACGAGAGGGTTTAAAACGACCAGTCCGTTTTGCTGCAGAGTGGTTCGTTTAGACGACTGGCCCTGATGGGGCTTATGATTTGATGCGTTTTCCAAACGAAGCACAATAAATATTACTTGTGTATTTTTTACACCTCAATTGACGGTCTTTAGGAACTCCAGTTCACTTTGAGATCGATGAAGTCGCATCGTTTATCCCGGTGACTTCCGGCATTCTACGATGTTCCACGGAACTATCGGCTGAGAAATTATTACCATGCAAGAAGCAAGACAACGGGTATTGAAGAAAAAAAACGAAAGGAGCTATTTAGCATTCAGTTTGGTTTTCAGGTCAGTTCAGAGTTTGAAAGTGCCAACTTCCCTGCCGACGCAGAACAGCACTGAAACTGGACCAACAGTTTCACAAAACACTGATATCGGCGATTTCGAGGTAAGGGAATGTCTGCCGTAGTTACAAGGAAAAGTTAGGGCATTATTTTCTTCCCTCAACCTGCAAGAGTCATTTTTCCGCAATTTGCCATTTCATGTGCGCCGTGGGCACAGGTGAATGTCAAAAGCAAGCTCGGTCATTCATTGATTATTTAATCACAAACTTCATTGATTCATTCATTCACTGATTCCTTCTGCATTCATTTATTAATTGCTTGGTTGATTCATTCATTCTGTAAATTATTCATTCACTACTTCATTCATTCGTTCACTCATTCTTTTACTCATTGCTTAATTCACTGTTTATCCATTCATTTTAATTGCATCTAAGATGACAACAAAACAGGTCGGCATTTCACATTTCATTAATAATTATACACATCCATCATTCCACCTGCGGGACTCTCGTGGTTCTGTACTTGGATTTAGACGTGCGCGAGCTTGGCTTGACTAAGATTATCCCAAGATATGAAGGGATTGAGATCAACCGAAGGGATCTGCTGATTTGACGCAGTGAGCGACTATTTCAGTGACAAACGTGTCGCATTTTTTCACATTCACCTGACCCATCCCTGAAACAGTGTCGACGGCACGACATCAAACAAGAATGTCCACAGTATTCACTGCTGGAGGTCGCTTGCTGGCTCTAGCGTCTGTGATATGAAATTGCATAGAAACCTCCACAAACTTTCAGAAGGAGTTTCACAGTGTTCAGCACTAATTGAAAGTTTGAGGTTACAAGCACCGTGCCGTTTATTAACGATGACTCAGTCCGGCGATGATCCAGGTGGTTTCTGCAGATCATTGTTTTGTCCTGGAATTCATCGCAATTTCTAACAACTAGTACAGCTGAATGAATGTGTTTTCATCGTCAGACCGATTGTATATCAGGTCATATCGCTGGTCCAGTCATCGTCTGCCTCTGCCTGTGTTTCTGTCTATCCATCGGAGGACGAAGGCTTCTCCAAGACTTTGCCATAAACGAGTGTTTTCTGCTATTTCTCTGCATCTGGATTCAACGAACGTCATGAGCTCGTCGTGCCATCGATCTGGAAGTCTTTCTAAGAGGTGTTTGCTCTCGCTTGGAACCGAGTCTACTGTCTCTCTGGTTCCCGCAGTGGTCGGTTCCTCCTGCGCTGTGCCCTGCCCATTGCAACTTTAATTGTTTCACTTGGGCAATGAGCTCGCAGAGTATGTTTGTACTCTTAGCTAATCAATCATTTCACATATTTTCGCCGTCCTCTTATTCCCGACATACACCTTTCCATGCTGCGTTGCGCAGTCTGCAGACTATGAATAGCTGTAGCTGTCAGGCATAGGTGCCGCAATTTTCGCCCATAGGCTAGCACCGAAAACACACATTCACAGAAAACTTTCCGTTTCAAACACCAGAGCAGTTTCGCTTCCCAGAAAACAATATTTTCAGTCTTTTAAAAGTTGAATTTTTATTCTTCTGCTGATTTCACACCATCGGTTCTACGCTATAGAGATGAGCTATCTCATAGAAGTAGCTTTGCACCTGTTCAAGTCTAAATTTGCTGACTGCAACAGATAACGCGGCCAAGGATTAGCTAGGCATGACCTGAGCCATCTTCAGGCTCGTTTTTAATCCCACTGTGATATTAGCATCGTTCAGCTCTTGGATTCTTCCTTTTAGTTTTTCTAGCGATTTGAAAGGATCGGAATATCGTTGTAAATCGAAAGTGGCTTGACCACTGCCAATTTACATTCAGTCCCTGATTTTTCCCTGATTTTTGTCTTGAAAATCTTTTCTAGGGCTGCTGTCAATAAACTCAGTGATATTTTGTCTCCCTGCAAGACACCCTTCTCGATATTGAAGTTGTTCGTGCTTTTGTAAGTCCCTACACTAGCAGTTGCATTCCTGTAAACCATGACAATTATGTTTCTGCATATTTTCTTGATTCCCAAGCTTCTTATGGAATTCAGAACAAAACAAATGTTGGCTGAGTCGAAATAATTCTCGAAATCGACAAATTACAGGGAGGGAGGAAGCTGGTATTCGTCACTTGTCTGACTTACTTGTTGCATCACCTGGAGGCGATCGATCGT